CCACACGCGTCATCAAGTTCAATAGCTGCGCCATCACGTTCAATGGCTATGACATCACGTTCGGTAGCTAGGCGCGCAATGGTTTTTAGTCATGTTACTCTATTGTAAATAAAACATGTAAAATACTGAAAAAAAAAAATAAAAAACGTTTTAATAACTAACCAATGGTTTTACTAACCCTGCTCTTGATTTACGCTACGACAAAGCTATTTTTAGATAACATAAGGAAATTGCGCTAAAATTGTCACTAGACTTTTTTTAATTACTTGTTTATATTTATATTTATTTGTGTTTTATATCTATTAATTTAACTCTTTAATTGTATTTATTATCAGAACTAGTATTGTCAAATCCGTGGCACTGTGATATACGTTGTGTTCTCCTGCATTATTATATTAGACTGGAAAAAAACGACAATTTCCTGTTCATGTTTTGATGCGCTGCATTTATGTGTTATGTAAGTCGTGTGGTGTCGTTGTTCAGATGTATGCCTGTCTGAAGAGTTGGTTGAAGAATACAATCTCGGTATAGCATTATTGATGCAAGTAGTTAAAATAAGATAATATTTCTATAAAAAATATGAATACAAATAAAATTTCACATATTGTTTCTTTGATTAATGTATTAGTACATTATTTTCAGTTGTGTGATTATCCAAATCAAGCTCATTCAATTTTGTTTGTCTTGACGCAGGCTGCTTCGCATTTTTGTTTGCTGGAAAACCTTTTCTCATTTCCGCCACAGCCGCCGTAGGTAAATTTCTTGCACTCTCTGGATTCCTCGTCATAATAATAAGCCACAAATCTGGCTAAACAGATTCCTCCGTCCGGTGGAAGCGAGCAGATAGGGTCTAGAAATTTTTGAAGTGTGATTAATATGTTAAAATAATACTCACGTGCATTTTGTATCATACATACAACCGAACTACAACAACAAAAACAAGAGAAACAATAATAGCTACAGCTTCAGAACATGCAAGTCTATTCCGGCGCCAACGCTCATACACACACACACTAACACCAGCTCCTACACCCGCTCATTTCCACTCACACCCACACACGTAACCCCACACTCACCCACACTCCAACATTACCACACACACACCAACACCAGCTCCTACACCCGCTCATTTCCACTCACACCCACACACGTAACCCCACACCCATCCACACCCTTAACATTACCACACATACACATTACCACACATACACACATACACACGCATACATATACACATACATGTACACCTACACGTACATGCACACGTACACGTGTATACGCATAAACGCACGCAGACATGACGTAGAAACAGACACATACCGATGGGGTCACAGACAAACTCGCACTCCTTCCTGTTTCTGAAATTATTTCCATTCCCTCCACAGCCGCCGTAATAAAATTTTTCGCAGCGGCCCGATTCCATATCATAGTAGTATCTGGGTAGTCTTGCCCTACACGGCCCTACAATCTTTAGTAGATGACAAATGTAACCTGTGGGAGATCACATAAAACAGAATTATTGGCGGTGTTCTAGGGGGTACGGGGTGTAGATGGCTGGAATTACCCCTTCTCCCAATATATAGAACAGTGTGGTGGGCGGCTTGAACCCTTGAACCACACCCACCTTGAGTTGGAGGTAATCACGCCTAACATTACAAATAAGTACGAAGAAGAGGAGGAAATGCTCTAAGTCGCATCCAACGAACGCGGGATTCAAATAAAATCGCTCGACTTACTTTTCTCTGGAATAGAATTTTTGACCAGCATTGCCATAAGGCAGAGAACAAAAAGTTTAGGAGACATTTGATCTGGCAACTGCTGGAATATTTCTGGCTAGAGTCTGGGGTCTGATGTGTTGATGATGTATTGATGAATTCCTCAACTGGACTTGGTCTTGTGACGTGTTGAAATGCAAGTGTTTATATAGTGGGCGAGTGGTGGGCGATCAGCGGTGTGACTTTGTCATTATCAGATTAAGTAAGTCATTATCAGAGGCGTGACTAAGTTAGTCATTATCAGAGGTGTGACTAGCTAGGTTAGCTTTCGGCTGAACTGTCTAAATGGACTCTACGAGTTTTGTTACCCGTTTTAACGATAACTAGTTTCTGTCTATAACGATAACTAGTTTCTGTCTTTAACGATAAATAGTTTCTGTCTATAACGATAACTAGTTTCTGTCTATAACGATTATTTGTTTCTGTCTATAACGATAACTAGTTTCTGTCTATAACGATAACTAGTTTCTGTCTATAACGGTAACTAGTTCCTGTCTATAACGATAACTAGTTTCTGTCTATAACAGTAACTAGTTTCTGTCTATAGTTTGATGCTTTCTTTAACCGATCAATACATAATCTAATACGAACACATATCAATACTGTTTAACGTCTCAAATACTCAGTTTTCACTTAATATGCCTGTTATAGCCAATTTTTTAGTTTTTTTTTTTATTTAATGGTTTGGTCCTCAGTTATGAAGATCTTTACAGTCGGAACAAGACATTCGTGTCGTTATTTGCACAGTTTGAGAATGTATGTGTTATAATCTTTAGCAGACCAATAGACTGCTATGTCTGAATGAAAACGTTATTTGAACAGTTTGAGAATGTACGTGTTATTATATTTAGCAGGCCAATAGACTGCTATGTCTAAATGAAAATGTTATTTGAACAGCTTGAGAATGTACGTGTTATTATATTTATCAGACCAATAGACTGCTATGTCTAAATGAAAATGTTATTTGAACAGCTTGAGAATGTACGTGTTATTATATTTATCAGGCCAATAGACTTCTATGTCAGGAAACAAAATTTGTTTTCATTGAGGTTAAAAGAATTAAAAAAAATAAACTGGCTTTATTGAGCGTGATTAAATGATGATGTTTCTGTGACATTTAGTTACACATTGGCTAAGTGACATTTAGTTTAAAAAATTGTTGGATGACATTTTGGTTAACAATGACTAGTGGACAGTGAAGTAGACAATGGCTATGTGACTGTTTTGTTAACAACAGCTAGATCACATTTATTCAGACAAAGGCTGGGTGACATTAAGGTAAGCAATGACTAGGCAATATTTTGTTAAAAAATTGTTAGTTGACATTTTTGTTATGACTAGTTGACACGTAGATAAACATTGGTTATAGGACATTTCCGTTAACAGTGGCTGAATGACATTTAGGTTAGGTAGACATTTTTGGTTTTCATTTAGGCAGACACACACCTTAACTGGTGATACATCTAATTAGCCCCAACATCTGAGACATACAATTTAATATCCGACTCGTCGACTTTTAAATGAAGTTAATTTGTTTTTTACATGCCCCACATGTATGCATGGTAGAGTTGTGTTGCTGCCTTATGCCCCGACACATAGGCATGCTGGAGTTGTGTTGCTGCCTTATGCCCCACATGTAGGCATGGAAGAGTTGTGTTGCTGCCTTATGCCCCACATGTAGGCATGGTGGAGTTGTCTTGCTGCCTTATGCCCCGACACATAGGCATGCTGGAGTTGTGTTGCTGCCTTATGCCCCACATGTAGGCATGGTGGAGTTGTTTTGCTGCCTTAAGCCCCACATGTAGGTATGGTAGAGTTGTGGATTAATATAGTAAGTAATTGTATCTAATAAATTGTATCTGAAATATTTCATCTCAGATAATATTCCTGAGATATTGCGTCTGATGTTATTTATCTGAGATAATTTTCATGAGATATTTTGCTTCACATAACTTTCTGAGACGTTTTGCTGGATAAATTGCATCTCAGATACTCTATTTGGGATCTTTTCCTAAAGAAAATTTTGTTTTCAACTTGTTTATTTATTTATATATTTAATTGATGCTTTCGCAATTGACCAGACTAACCTTTTAAAACAAGCTTAACAAAAAAATTGTATTGGCACCCGAGACAAGTTTGCTGACTTGAATTTTGTTTGTCATGAGGGGAGGGGTGTCACCTGGCGGGGCAGAGGCAATTTTCGGTCACTTGTGAGTTACTGGCTTGAGAAATTTGGTTCAGGGAGAAGTACTGGGGGTGGGAGAAACAGCACTGGAGTAGTTAATCCAAATAGTACTGGGGGTGGGGTATGCGGGCCTGATTTAGTTAATCCATCTAGTACTGGGGGTGGGGTATGCGGGCCTGATTTAGTTAATCCATCTAGTACTGGGGGTGGGGTATGCGGGCCTGATTTAGTTAATCCATCTAGTACTGGGGGTGGGGTATGCGGGCCTGATTTTGTTAATCCAACTAGTACTGGGGGTGGGTGATACGGGCCTGATTTAGTTAATCCAACTAGTACTGGGGGTGGGGGATAAGGGCCTGATTTTGTTAATCCAACCAGTACTGGGGGTGGGGGATACGGGCCTGGGGTAGTTAATCCAACCAGTACTGGGGGTGGGGTGTTTATGGGCTTGGATTAGTTAATTCAACTAGTACTTGGGGTTGGGGATACGGGCTTGATGTAGTTAATCAAAGTATTTAATTGGAAAGTATAAACTCATGATGCAGATCAGTGGCGTAGCGAGGTCGAGTGTCACCAGGTGCGGCACTTAATGGTGTCACGCCCCAGAGGCGTAGCGAACCTTCCCGGGAACAAACTTTCAATTTTCAATTTGCAACCCCCCTCCCTCAGACTTTCGACTTGCAGCCCAGCCCCCCCCCCCCCACCCCTCAAACTTTCGATTAAACACTTGAATTAATCACTTAATTAAGTGGAATTATCATTTTTCTCTATATATTTTACTATTTTTTTGACTTGGTGTCACCCCCTTAAATGGTGTCACCAGGTGCGGTCCGCCCCCCGTCCCCCCCTAGCTACGCCTCTGATGCAGATACACACACATTCCACCTAGCATACTCATATACGCACACATGCACAAAAAGAAAAAAACAACACGTAGAAATAAAATCCCAAAGTACACACACACACACACATGCAGATTCAACAAAAAAAACGTTTGCAGTCGTTGCTTAAAAGATTTTCATAATTATTTTATTTGTATTTTATATCTATTAATTTAACTCTCTAATTTTGTTTATTATCAGACCTAGTATTGTCAAATCCATGGCACTGTGATATACGTTGTGTTGTCCTGCATTATTATATTAGACTGAAAAAAACGACAATTTCCTGTTCATGTTTTGATGCGCTGCATTAATGTGTTGTGTAAGTCGCGTGGTATCGTTGTTCAGATGTATGCCTCTCTGAAGAGTTGTTTGAAGAATAAAATCTCGGTATAGCAATATGCAAGGGACTAGTCTAGTTTATGGAAGGCTACCTGGTGGTTTTGATGCCTATTTTTAAAATTAATTGATGCATTTTTAAAGTAGTTAAAATAAGATAATATTTCTATAAAAATATGAATACAATAAAATTTCACATATTGTTTCTTTGATTAATTTATTAGTACATTAGTTTCAGTTGTGTGATTTTCCAAATCAAGCTCAATCAAATTTTGTTTGTCCTGACGCAGAATTCTTCGCATTCTTGTTTGCTGTCAAACCTATTCTCATTTCCGTCACAGCCGCCGTAGATAAATTGCTTGCACTTTCTGGATTCCTCGTCATAGTAATAAGCCTCAAAACTGGCTTCACATTCTCCTTCGTCCGGTGGAAGCGAGCAGATAGGGTCTAGAAATTTTTGAAGTGTGATCAATATGTTAAAATAATACTCACGTGCATTTTGTATCATACATACAACCGAACTACAACAACAAAAACAAGAGAAACAATAACAACTACAGCTTCAGAACATGCAAGTCTATTCCCACGCCAACGCTCACACACACACACCAACACCAGCTCCTACAACCGCTCATTTCCACTCACACTCACACACGTAACCCCACATCCACTCACACCCTCAACATTACCACACACACACACCAACATAAGCTCCTACACCCGTTCATTTCCACTCTCATCCACACACGTAACCCCACACCCACCCACACCCCCAACATTACCACACATACACATTACCACACATACACACATACACACGCATACATATACACATACATGTACTCCTACACGTACATGCACACGTACACGTGTATACGCATGAACACACGCACACATGACATAGACAGAGACCTACCGATGGATTCACAGACAAACTCGCACTGCTTCCTGTTTCTGAAATTATTTCCATTCCCTCCACAGCCGCCGTAATGAAATTTTTCGCAGCGGCCCGATTCCATATTATAGTAGTATCTGGGTAGTTTTGCCCTACACGGCCCTACAATCTTTTGTAGATGACAAGTGTAACCTGTGGGAGATCACATTAAACAGAATTGTTGGCGGTGTATAACTTGCTAGAACGCCCCCTCAAGTAATATAAAACAATGGTGTTGTAGGGGGACGGGGTGTAAATGGCTAGAATTCCCCCTTCTCTCAATATATAGAATAGTGTTGTGGGCGGTGTATAATTAGCTAGAGCCTCCCCTCCCCCTAACTAATACAGAAAAGTATTGTGGTTGCTGTGGAACCAGCTGTAATCACGCCTAACATTACAAATGAGTACGAAGAAGAGGAAGAAATGCTCTAAGTCGCATCCAACGAACGCGGGATTCAAATAAAATCGCTCGACTTACTGTTCTCTGGAATAGAATTTTTGACCAGCATTGCCATAAGGCAGAGAATAAAAAGTTTAGGAGACATTTGATCTGGCAACTGCTGGAATATTTCTGGCTAGAGTCTGGGGTCTGATGTGTTGATGATGTATTGATGAATTCCTCAACTGGACTTGGTCTTGTGACGTGTTGAAATGCAAGTGTTTATATAGTGGGCGAGTGGTGGGCGATCAGTGGTGTGACTTTGTCATTATCAGATTAAGTAAGTCATTATCAGAGGCGTGACTAAGTTAGTCATTATCAGAGGTGTGACTAGCTAGGTTAGCTTTCGGCTAAACTGTCTAAATGGACTCTCCTTGTGCTAAACTGTCTGAATGGACTCTACGAGTTTTGTTACCCGTTTTAACGATAACTAGTTTCTGTCTATAACGATAACTAGTTTCTGTCTATAACGATAACTAGTTTCTGTCTATAACGATAACTAGTTTCTGTCTATAACGATAACTAGTTTCTGTCTATAACGATAACTAGTTTCTGTGTATAACGATAACTAGTTTCTGTCTATAACGATAACTAGTTTCTGTCTATAACGATAACTAGTTTCTGTCTATAACGATAACTAGTTTCTGTCTATAACGATAAATAGTTTCTGTCTATAACGATAACTAGTTTCTGTCTATAACGATAACTAGTTTCTGTCTATAACAGTAACTAGTTTCTGTCTATAGTTTGATGCTTTCTTTAACCGATAAATACATAATCTAATACGAACACATATCAATACTGTTTAACGTCTCAAATACTCAGTTTTCACTTAATTTGCCTGTTATAGCCAATTTTTTTTTATTTAATGGTTTGGTCCTCAGTTATGAAGATCTTTACAGTCGGAACAAGACATTCTTGTCGTTATTTGAACAGTTTGAGAATGTATGTGTTATAATCTTTATCAGACCAATAGACTGCTATGTCTGAAAGAAAACGTTATTTGAACAGTTTGAGAATGTAGGTGTTATAATCTTTATCAGACCAATAGACTGCTATGTCTGAAAGAAAACGTTATTTGAACAGTTTGAGAATGTATGTGTTATAATCTTTATCAGACCAATAGACTGCTATGTATGAAAGAAAACGTTATTTGAACAGTTTGAGAATGTATGTGTTATAATCTTTATCAGACCAATAGACTGCTATGTCTGAAAGAAAACGTTATTTGAACAGTTTGAGAATGTATGTGTTATAATCTCTATCAGACCAATAGACTGCTATGTCTAAATGAAAATGTTATTTGAACAGTTTGAGAATGTATGTGTTATAATCTTTATCAGACCAATAGACTGCTATGTCTAAATGAAAATGTTATTTGAACAGTTTGAGAATGTAGGCCTACGTGTTATTATATTTATCAGACCAATAGACTGCTATGTCAGGAAACAAACTTTGTTTTTATTGGGGTTAAAAGAATTAAAAATAAATAAACTAGCTTTATTGAGCGTGATTAAAAGATGATGTTTTTGTGACATTTAGTTAAACATTGGCTAAGTGACATTTAGTTTAAAAAATTGTTGGATGACATTTTGGTTAACAATGACTAGTGGACAGTGAAGTAGACAATGGCTATATGACTGTTTTGTTAACAACAGCTAGATCACATTTATTCAGACAAAGGCTGGGTGACATTAAGGTAAGCAATGACTAGGCAATATTTTGTTAAAAAAATTGTTAGTTGACATTTTTGTTATGACTAGTTGACACCTAGATAAACATTGGTTATAGGACATTTCCGTTAACAGTGGCTGAATGACATTTAGGTTAGGTAGACATTTTTGGTTTTCATTTAGGCAGACACACACCTTAACTGGTGATACATCTAATTAGCCCCACCATCTGTGACATACAATTTAATATCCGACTCGTCGACTTTTAAATGAAGTCAATTTGTTTTTTACATGCCCCACATGTAGGCATGGTGGAGTTGTGTTTTTGCCTTATGCTCCACATGTAGGCATGGTGGAGTTGTGTTGCTGCATTATGCCCCGACACATAGGCATGGTGGAGTTGTGTTGCTGCCTTATGCCCCACATGTAGGCATGGTGGAGTTATGTTTTTGCCTTATGCCCCGACACATGAGCATGCTTGAGTTGTGTTGCTGCCTTATGCCCCACATGTAGGCATGCTGGAGTTGTGTTGCTGCCTTATGCCCCCCATGTAGGCATGGTGGAGTTATGTTTTTGCCTTATGCCCCACATGTAGGCATGCTGGAGTTGTGTTGCTGCCTTAGGCCCCACATGTAGGCATGTTGGAGTTGTGTTGCTGCCTTATGCCCCGACACATAGGCATGGTGGATTTGTGTTGCTGCCTTATGCCCCAACACATAGGCATGGTGGAGTTGTGTTGCTGCCTTATGCCTCGACACATAGGCATGCTGGAGTTGTGTTTTTGCCTTATGCCCCACATGTAGGCATGGTGGAGTTGTGTTGCTGCCTTATGCCCCACATGTTGGTATGCTGGAGTTGTGTTGCTGCCTTATGCCCCACATGTAGGCATGGAAGAGTTGTGTTGCTGCCTTATGCCCCGACACATGGGCATGCTGGAGTTGTGTTGCTGCCTTATGCCCCGACACATAGGCATGGTGGAGTTGTGTTGCTGCCTTATGCCCCACATGTAGGCATGGTGGAGTTGTGTTGCTGCCTTATGCCCCACATGTAGGCATGGAAGAGTTGTGTTGCTGCCTTATGCCCCGACACATTGCCATGCTGGAGTTGTGTTGCTGCCTTATGCCCCACATGTAGGCATGGTGGAGTTGTGTTGCTGCCTTATGCCCCGACACATAGGCATGCTGGAGTTGTGTTGCTGCCTTATGCCCCACATGTAGGCATGCTGGAGTTGTGTTGCTGCCTTATGCCTCGACACATATGCTTGTGGAGTTGTGTTGCTGCCTTATGCCCCACATGTAGGCATTTTGGAGTTGTGTTGCTGCCTTATATCCCACATGTAGGCATGGTGTAGTAGTGTTGCTGCCTTATGCCCCGACACATAGGCATGGTGGAGTTGTGTTGCTGCCTTATGCCCCTACAAAAGGCATGGTGGAGTTGTGTTGTTGCATTATGCCCCACATGTAGGCATGGTGGAGTTGTGTTGCTACCTTATGCCCCGACACATAGGCATGCTGGAGTTGTGTTGCTGCCTTATGCCCCGACACATAGGCATGATGGAGTTATGTTGCTGCCTTATGCCCCACATGTAGGCATGGTGGAGTTTTGTTGCTGCCTTATGCCCCACATGTAGGCATGGTGGAGTTGTGTTGCTACCTTATGCCCCACATGTAGGCATTTTGGAGTTGTGTTGCTGCCTTATGCCCCACATGTAGGCATTTTGGAGTTGTGTTGCTGCCTTATGCCCCACATGTAGGCATGGTGGAGTTGTGTTGCTGCCTTATGCCCCGACACATAGGCATGGTGGAGTTGTGTTGTTGCATTATGCCCCACATGTAGGCATGGTGGAGTTGTGTTGCTACCTTATGCCCCACATGTAGGCATGGTGTAGTTGTCTTGCTGCCTTATGCCCCACATGTAGGCATGGTGGAGTTGTGTTGCTGCCTAATGCCCCGTTTTTGCTGGATAAATTGCATCTCAGATACTCTGTTTGAGATCGTTTTCCTAAAGAAAATTTTGTTTTCAACTTGTTTATTTATTTATATATTTATTTGATGCTTTCGCAATTGACCAGACTAACCTTTTAAAACAAGCTTAACAAAAAAATTGTATTGGGACCCGAGACAAGTTTGCTGACTTGAATTTTGTTTGTCATGAGGGGAGGGGTGTCACCTGGCGGGGCCGAAGCAATTTTCTGTCACTTGTGAGTTACTGGCTTGAGAAATTTAGTCAGGGAGAAGTACTGGGGGTGGGGGAAACAGCACTGGAGTAGTTAATCCAAATAGTACTGGGGGTGGGGTATGCGGGTCCGATTTTGTTAATCCAACTAGTACTGGGGGTGGGTAATACGGGCCTGATTTAGTTAATCCAACTAGTACTAGGGGTGGGGGATACGGGCCTGATTTAGTTAATCCAACTAGTCCTGGGGGTGGGGGATAAGGGCCTGATTTAGTTAATCCAACTAGTACTGGGTGTGGGGGATAAGGGCCTGATTTAGTTAATCCAACCAGTACTGGGAGTGGGGGATAAGGGCCTGATTTAGTTAATTTAGTTAATCCAACTAGTAATGGGGGTGGGGGATACGGGCCTGAATTAGTTAATCCATCTAGTACTGGGGGTGGGGAGTAAAGGGCCTGATTTTGTTAATCCAACTAGTACTGGGGGTGGGTGATACGGGCCTGATTAAGTTAATCCAACTAGTACTGGGGGTAGGGGATAAGGGCCTGATTTAGTTAATCCAACCAGTACTGGGGGTGGGGGATACGAGCCTGGGGTAGTTAATCCAACTAGTACTGGGGGCGGGGTGTATATGGGCTTGGGTTAGTTAATCCAACTAGTACTGGGGGTGGGGGATACGGGCTTGATGTAGTTAATCAAAGTATTTAATTGGAAAGTATAAACTCATGATGCAGATGAGTGGCGTAGCGAGGTCGAGTGTCACCATGTGCGGCACTTAATGGTGTCACGCCCCAGAGGCGTAGCGACCCTTCCCGGGAACAAACTTTCAATTTTCAATTTGCACCCCCCCCCCTCCCTCAGACTTTCGACTTGCAACTCCCCCCCCCCCCCTCAAACTTTCGATTTGCACCTCTTAAAACACTATTTAATACTTGAATTAATCACTTAATTAAGTGGAATTATCATTTTTCTATATATATTTTACTATTTTTTGACTTGGTGTCACCCCCTTAAATGGTGTCACCTGGTGCGGTCCGCCCCCCCCGTCTCCCCCCTCGCTACGCCTCTGATGCAGATACACACACACACACACACACATTCCACCTAGCATACTCATATACACACACATGGTTTTGATGCCTATTTTTAAAACTAATTGATGCATTTTAAAGTAGTTAAAATAAGATAATATTTCTATAACAAATATGAATACAAATAAAATTTCACATATTGTCTCTTTGATTAATTTATTAGTACATTATTTTCAGTTGTGTGATTTTCCAAGTCAAGCTCATTCAATTTTTGTTTGTCTTGACGCAGGCTGCTTCGAGGTGGCGACCCCTTTTATAAAAACTAAATGACTCGCGACCCACATACTA